TCTAGGGACAGGCAAGAGATTGAAGTGATCTGGATGAGACCTTTGCTTGGCACAAGTTCTTCAGAGAGCCTTGGGTGCCCCGCTTTAAAAAGCTATAAAATAAGCTTGAACTTAAAGCAGATGCTGCAAATCCATCAGATGTGATAAGCCCAACATGGGAATTCCTGGCCTGTGTCATACACAATTTAGACTGGATGACTAGACTTTTCTGACGTGAGCAATAATTCCTAAACATAGTGATTTTCTCATTGTTTAAGGTTCTAAAGATTTGCTTTCTTGATTTATGTGATCTTTCCTTTATTAACTAAACTGCTAGGCAAAGAGATACCGGTCTTTCCAGAGGTCATCAGGCCAAGTGGGGGGAACCTTTTTATCCTAGCCAAACTTGGATCCATTTCTTTTACCAGCAGTGAGGCATCTCTGATGTTTTTGCAAACGGCATTTCTGTTCCCTGCTGTGAGTGATTAATGATGTTTTCAAGACAGCTCTGCTCCTTCCGTGCTGTGCCACGCATGCGTGCGTACCTGCTTGGTGGAAAGAGCAGGAGTAAATCAGTGCGAGCAGCAGCCTTGCAACACCATAGATGTGATTCTTGTGCACAGCAACAGAGGACATTTTGATGGGGTCTGAGCAAGTCATAGGCAGAGTTTCTTTTTCACACGTTGTAGATGGAGGAGAGATCACTGAAGCCAGTCTGGGAATTAATGGTGATCTAACCTCAGAGAGCTGCTGACACCAGCCACTTATGGGAATACTGTTATTAACATAGGTGCTACAAAAGTTGGTTTGCAAGGATTTACAGCGGTGTTTAAATATTAAGCACGTGGCATGGATGCTTTGTTTGTCTAGTTGGGAACACTGATCTGAAGATGGGGTGATGCAATGCACAATGATCTGCTGATGTCAATAGATGTGTTATATTGCAAGTCAAAAAACCCGTATGACTTGAACGCCAGACATAGGACAAATAAGGATTAGGGAACAAACCTGGCACCCTGGCCCATTTCTAGCCTCTGTCTTTCCCTGCGTCTGTGCTGGGTCTTTGTCCTTGCTATTTTCAACTTCATTTTCAGAAGAGTCAGTAACTGCAGCCCTACTTATAGCCAAGGCCTCCTCTCCCTGCAGGTCTTGCTCTCTGTGGTTTCCTGCTTCCTTTTCTCCTTTACTTTGGTTCGGTTTGCAAGGCTTGTCCATGTGGAGGAGCCTGTTTATGAACAGCCTCTTCTTCTCCCTCTGAAACTGTATGAAACCTTTACTTGTTTGCAGCAGATACTCTTTGTGCAATGCTGAGCCTTAAACTGGTGTTAGGCTTGATATTCCATGGCTATGCATCTTCACGAAGGGAGTGATTTCCAGTTGTACTTAATACCTGCATCTTCTGCTAGATTTAAGGTGCCCATCTCTGGCAATGCTCGTACCCAGCTGTGACTGTGGCACAAACAAGGATGCAGCTTTTCTGGCAGGACAGTACCTCAGAGGGCAAGACTGACGCCAGTGATACAGTAAGGGATTTTGTAGACTATTTAAACCCCCTAGTTTTGTGTTCACATCAATTTAATTTCTTTACTTAATATTTTGGGTAAAAGAAGGCATAATGATCCCAAATCCATCTTTTAAACGTTACTCCAAGTTGCAGCAGACTTCAGCTCCTCCAGCAGACTCTAGACAGGCTCAACTTTCTAACTCCTGAAATATTTAAGGGAGCTGCAGAGAGGAGTCAGTTTCAGAGAGTCAGAAATGAAGGTAAGCCAGTACTTAGAGTGAAAATGTTTCAGGCCTTTTTTACTTGTCACGGCAAATAAACCCACTTTGTACTAAAAGGTGGGTTGTATATGAATATTTTGTTTTGAAAGCGCTTGAGCAACACGTGGGAAATACTTACTGTGTTTCATAGCTGCTTCATGATAGAAAGGAGCCCTTTAGAGGAACTGGCAGTAACTGAGCTTTTCAGGAATGCTGGCTCTATATACTGCTTTTTATGCTTTTGAAAGCTTTTCCTACAGACGAGTAATTTGCCGTGTGTGACTAAATTAACCTGTGCAGGTAAGACCCAACCTTTTAAGCATATATCCTCACCGCCGTGCTCTCATGATGTTAGGACTTGGTGAACCTTCTTTCCCACACCTTTGCAGCCAGCTCCCTGACTAGCACTGGCAGTCCTCTTCCACAGAGACATGACGACTGTCCGTGTTTGCTTTGGCAGTGATGTTGCAACTGGCACTAATTGGCATTTTTGCTGGCAGCCGTCACCAGGAGATGGAGAACTGAAGGGGCTGTGGAGCCTGCACTCCGCTGTGCTCCAAAGGTGGCAGAGGACAGAGGCGTGCTGGCAGCTCAGACGGAGGGAAGCCGACACCACGATTGCTTGGTCTATAAACAAAGGAGTTCTGTTTCCAAAGCTGAGAAGCCCCAGCCTTTTTCCAAGCTGTAACGTGTTGAAAAACAAGCCTGGACCCAGTGGGTGAGTGATCTGTGTAGTCACCGGTGTAGTTCGCTCACAGTTCCTCTTGCCCTCTCCAGATTACGCATCTTAGGCATGTCAGTGAGCCACACGTAGCAAGGCTCGTTGCTGACCTTCAGCAGAGCGATGCCAGCCTGGGCTCGGCAATAAAACTGACTTCTGTCCTAGAGTAACAGGAGGGGCACAGCAGTTAGCTGGCTTTGGGCCATCCCAGACTATTGAGGGGACCCTTTCTGTCTGCTGAAGGGAATTCCTGAGAGCTGGTGGGAGGGCCGTAGGGCATCACAGGGGCAGTTCTGCCCTTGAATTCCTGTTCTGTTAATGGGCTTATTTTAAGGTGTAGGATGTCCTGCCCAGCCTGTCACACTGTTCCAATGTGTAATTACCCTCACAGCTTGGGAGCTGGAGGTTCTTCCAGCGCTCAGTTCAACTGACCGACTCTCCACTGTTGAATCTCATTGTCAGCAAGGCTGATAAATCCTTCCTCCCGTCCCCAGGTCTGCCTCTTCCCCCACATCAAGACAATTCTCCATGTGCAAGTTACACCTGACTGCTTTACTTCTCATCTGTTTTGGAAGATGCTTCCACACCATTATTGCAGAAGCAATAAAGAAAATGTACTCAAATAAAGAATTTTCAACATAACTTAATTTTTTTTTAAATTAAGTGGTTAGGCGAGGGATTAGTTCTTTGGATTTCTGTATTTTTATTATCAACAAGGTAGCTGAAGAGACCAGTTAGAGTTATTCTATGCTTTCTAGCAGGGGACCTGAATTTCCCATGGTAATTAGTTTGAGCATGTATCAGCTTGGTTTCTTGGGAAAAAGGAACATTTGCTCTTCTAGGAAACATTTTCAGTGCCATCAGTCTAAGAATAGCAATCATCTCTCTGTTCCATCTCAAATTTCAGAAGTATGGCTTATCTTTTATTGTGCATGCAATATGGAGATTATTTTAGATCAAATACCACTCTCTTCTGCTGAAGCACGAGCAGCTTATAGTACATCCTCCTGTGGTTTTCTTTTTCTTTTCCTAACCCAAATTAATTCACAAATAAAGAAATCTGTGCCTTGGGCACTGCCTCATCTCTCTGAGCACATCAGTTCCTTGATGACCCCAAAGGGAGCGACAGTGCTGAAATAGTTCAGTTGGCAAACAACTCCCTGGCTACAGATTTATGCGCTGGAACAAGACCCTGTAGTTTCAATGACGACTTCCAACAGCAGAGGCAAAGCTAGAGTGCGGTGGCCTAGGAGATTTCTATCGCTGCGACGCCGGTGGAGCCGGCGCAGCTCGCTCCCTGCAGAGCAGGCAGGGGCAGTGCCGGTTTTACAGGGACGTTGGCAGTGTGACTGCCCAGAATGCTGCAGAGTAAAGGTTGCAGAGCAAAGAACCGAAGCTGTACGCTTTGCTTGGGACTTTGATGTGTCTAAGCACAAGTGTCAGAGGCAGGACGTTACCCCTAAGGGGATTTTTCATCTGGAGAAACTGTGAAGGTGTTCTGTGTACCTTGGGGCATCTCGGAAGGGATAGCCGGGGAAGCGTGGATGTCAAAGCTGCACTGGTACCCAGAGTGGACACCAAGACAGGCGCAGCTCTGTCAGCTCACATCCTGCTGGAGGCTGGCAGTGGTGGGGGGCTGGAATCCACCAAAAAAGGCTGCTCTAGAGTCCTGGGCCATTGCCATACCTACATCAGTCCCTCTGGGCAGAGCAGAGGGCAGGCACAAGGAGGCTGACCCTCCTCCTTCATGCTACCTTCCTCACCCTGCAGCGATCACACAGAGGGGCTTCAGGCTCTGTTCCCACCTCCTGACAGGGCAGGGACATTTTTGGCCACCGCAACATCTCTGCTTCTGCTCCTGCCCTCCTCCACCTGACAACAAGCACCTGGACTACAAGAGGAACAGAGAAAACTTTGCAAGAAAGCAAACTTTTATGCATATTTTCAACTCTATTTTGTTCAGCTGCACATCCCTGCCAGACTTGTTTAAGGAAGTTTTAATAGTATCTGGCTTCTCTTCGGTCTTGTGTACCAGATGAGGAAGTTTTCATCTGTGCCTTTAAAAAAACCCCGCTTCCCTGCCAAGACGTATTAGGAGAGCTGTAAAAAAGGAGTCATCCTGTTCCAGGACTGCAAGGCTTATGTAACAGGGAAATCCTAGCAGAAAGATACTCCCCCACCCTGCGCACACTCTTCCAACCAAGGCACGTGCCACTTCAGGGTTTACAGTCACTCGATTTGTATTTGGATCACATCTGCCACTGGTTTATTTAGATGTATTTACAAATATATTCTCCCACATACCCTCATTTGTACGTGCCATAGAACGTTTCTATAAAATGCAGTGCGGACCTCACCTCACCACAAGGATCTTTAAATAAAATATACTGTAAAGTGCAGGTACAATTCTTATTAAAAATACAGTTCTGATTAAAACGGATACTTGGCTGCCACATGAGCAGCTTCATATACCAATACATGTTCAGCACAATAGTCTCTTTCTGCCCGGTGAGTGGGATGCTCTCATACCACCCCTCTAGCTCTCCAGTTTCAAGTCCAAAGGCTTTAGAAAATGAGGCAGAGGCAGATTGTCCAGAGCCTCTGGGAAATTCTCAGGTGCAATGGTCCTGATCAAGACACGCATGGCTCCGACAAACAGCGACGGGGGAGCTAAGCCCACCAAGCACCGGAACCTGTTCTCCCCCAGGAGCTCCTGCCACCGCTGCCGGTTGTCCAACAGCTGCTGTTTCATTGCGAACTGGAGGTCCTGAGGCACGAAGAAGAAGAGGCAGTCGAGGCAGAGGAGCTTGGCATGCGTGTCGGCTGTTGGCGCCTGGGACATCTGCTGCAGCAGGGTGTCGAGGGGGGTGTTCCCAGCGCTGTCCTGCAGGCAGGGCGACGCGCCGTGCCCGAGCAGCAGGAGCAAGCACTCGGGTCGCACCAGTTCGCAGGCCACGTGCAAGGCCGTCTTGCCGCCCTCCACGCGGCTGC